GCATCGGCACTAACTTTGGCTCTGATAGTTACTCCAGTGGCTTAGCCGGTGGCAGCTTCACAGGAACCATCAGCCAAGGCTACTTACCGCCTCACAAATAATATCACGATCTTCCGTGCCAGTTTACATCATCTACAACACAAGGAGGAAAGGGCAGACCTGTTCACTTACCAACGTTCATAAACTATAAGTTTTACCTCAAAAATCATATTGTTATTTTAATGTATTTTACGATTGAGTTACATGCTCTTAGAAACTAATTAACATCATCATTTTTCACGTTACTACATGTACAGTACTTGTTTTTCCCTCCTGGTTAAAATAAAGACAATATTTATCTTTAGTGTTATTTTCTTGCCAAACAGGGTGAGTTGATTTCTCTTTTGTAGTCATCCCTTTAAGTGCAAACAACAATATAATTTACTGTGTGTGTTGTAGGAGAAATATAAAAATAAGAATCATACTATCAAGTGTTCATATTATCCCCAGCCCAAGTACTTCAGAGACGTGCCACGTATAGGAATATAACATAAGGGAAATTCATTAGTAATTATACATAAAACATACATTAAATATTAATATAAATTGTTTTTCTTTTTAACAAGAAATTAATGTTTAGTTTCCTCAGAGAAATCACTTATATATAAAAGGTCTATTCCTCAAGACCTAACATCATCGCCTTTACAATATTATAACTTCGTCTTTTAGTGATTAATCATCATGATTGTAGTAAATTATTTTCCTATAAACTCATTGATCTCAGTGGGTTAGTGTTTAAAAAAGTTGAAGTAACAGAGTACGAGCAATATACTCACTTTGGAAATATAAAAATAAACATAACATTGTATAAGACTGAGAATCGTGAAGGACAGTAAAATATGTAAATATGTTTCAGAGAGTAAGACAGGTAAAGATTCGAAAGCAATATCTTCAACAAATAGATACGGTTCTTATCTAGTTGCTCCTGGCTTAAATTTTCCGGATAGAAATATATGTAAAAACATTACAAAAGAACTGATGGTCTAGTCTCTCTCTCGCTCCACTACAGAGGGGTCCAGGAAGTAAGCACTCGTGCTATTAACATCTTAATGCAAGTGCGTAATGTCAGACGAAACTTTCGCTGTGATTACTGTGTATTTTTGGCCACGAATCGGGTTTACGCCAGCTCAGGTACGCACTCAGGTGGTCCAAGGTAAGAGAAATTACAGCCTCGTTACGCATGAGTATCACAAGCTCAAGAGACTGACAACCCGGAAGGATTTGCTTGCATCGTTGAGACTTTGTTTGGGTTAGTGAGAAAAATGATTATATTTGTGTATCTCAAGTGGAGGTGAAGTGACGCTCTGTTGTTGATGGAGCGATTGTTTGGGTTTGTTTGCGTATCTGCTGACCTTAACATAATTCCGTGCAGGTAAGGAAACTTTTCCATAATTATTCGTCATCAGTAAAAGTAATGATGCCTGTACAGTACCGTCTTGCAGACTCCATGGCCTTTGATAAGTAGAGCCTCTATTACTGTATAAAAAAGTTACATAATTATAAACTCCATACTGTTGTTGCTAGATAGTAAAAATCTGTACTATATGAGCTGAGTCGTCTGGCAAGGAAAGCATCTATGTTTTATGTTTAAATTCTTAAATCAACTGCATTATTTATAGATTAATGGAGATCTATTTACCAAAATCTAATTGATCACGTGTTTTGGACTCTTGGTTTAGGTACAACAGTTCAACATTAATATATGTTGTTGTGAGAGTTACTGATGTTATCAGGTCTTACTGAGCTTCAACAACTAAGGACTCTAAGCATGTATACCGAACTCATCAAGGATTAGAATTTAAAGGGAATAGATCTCTCAGATGTTGTAAGTAAAGTATATACATGATAAAGATACCTCATGTTGATTCTCGTGCGTACGGCAATGTAGTTCCAACCTCAGTGAATATTTAGGACTTGCAGACAATTCATTCTAAAACATGAAATTTGGGAACTTTCTTTCCATCTTAACAATTGCAATTCAAAATTATACAATATTCATATATCAATTACAGTATGCCTTATCCTTTTTTATATACGTAACTCTCTTCAGAAGACACCTGATAAATGCATTTTTTAAATTTATCAGTTTAAAAATGAAAACATAGTCATCTTTCACAATCAGAGAAGTGGACCATATAGCAGCGACTGTTCATTTATCGATCACAGTATCAAGTAATGACTCCTGTTAGCCCAGATGATGAACAGCAGCTTCTTAGAGTGGCTTGGAGACTAACAGACGATAAATTGAACAAAACTTAATGAAGAAATGAGGAGAATCTCATACTTTTTAAAAATAATGCAGCCTTGCTTATACGATTAATCTACAGCATCAATAATAAAGGTGATTCTTAACTCATGTAGACAGTGTGTGAGAGTCCTGGACGATTGAAAGACACTTTGGTAATGTATGTGGTGATGTATATGTGATGCTGAGTATAGTTTTATGACCAATATTCATTTGGTGGTTTTATTTACTTCCGTACCTGTATTTGTCCGTACCTGTGTTTGTCCGTACCTGTATTTGTCCGTACCTGTATTTGTCCGTACCTGTATTTGTCCGTACCTGTGTTTGTCCGTACCTGTGTTTGTCCGTACCTGTATTTGTCCGTACCTCCGTGTATTTGTCCGTACCTGTGTTTGTCCGTACCGTACCGTATTTGTCCGTACCCTGTGTTTGTCCGGTACCTGTGTTTGTCCGTACCTGTGTTTGTCCGTACCTGTGTTTGTCCGTACCTGTATTTGTCCGTACCGTACCTGTATTTGTCCGTACCTGTGTTTGTCCGTACCTGTGTTTGTCCGTACCTGTGTTTGTCCGTACCTGTATTTGTCCGTACCTGTGTTTGTCCGTACCTGTGTTTGTCCGGTACCTGTGTTTGTCCGTACCTGTGTTTGTCCTGTACCTGTGTTTGTCCGTACTGTATTTGTCCGTGTATTTGTCCGTACCTGTATTTGTCCGTACCTGTATTTGTCCGTACCTGTATTTGTCCGGTACCTGTATTTGTCCGTACCTGTGTTTGTCCGTACCTGTATTTGTTATGTCCGTACCTGTATTTGTCCGTACCTGTGTTTGTCCGTACCTGTGTTTTGTCTGTACCTGTGTTTTGTCCGTACCTGTGTTTGTCCGTACCTTTGTTTGTGTATCCGTACCTGTGTTTGTCCGTACCTGTATTTGTCCGTACCTGTATTTGTCCGTACCTGTGTTTGTCCGTACCTGTATTTGTCCGTACCTGTATTTGTCCGTACCTGTATTTGTCCGTACCTGTATTTGTCCGTACCTGTATTTATGATAAAAAGGATAGTTATTATCTTGGTATTTATTGCTTAGCCTAAGACTCTCTTGTTATACAGCTATATAATTTATTTTAAGGAGAATAAAGTTTAGAGTATAAAATGAGTTATCTGAAGAGCAAAATGGACTTAGAAAGGGAAAAGGAACTTGTAAACCTATATTTGGTTTGAGAATTTTTGGTAAAAGGGCTTTAGAGGTCCAAAGAAATTAATATAGCCACAATCTCAATTTACACGGATTTAATTTCCACGTTTTTGAAATAACAATAGTATTAAATTAATGCTACTTATGAAAATAACACAAAGTTTTTTTAAAAGTTACGGTTTTGAAAAGAGCGCCATTGCGCCAGGCAGAGTTGTTCAGTACCTCATTGCTTTCCTACTTTATGAAAAAGGAAAAAGTAACATCAACTGAACCTCAGTCAACGACATAAGGCATCTGAAGAGCTCTCACTTCTCCCCATCACCGGCTTTGCCATCTGGATTCGGATAACTCCCTCCGTCAGTATCTCTCCACCTCTTCTCCACCACCACTAGGTTTGCTTCTATTAATATTATTATTATTATTATTATTATTATTATTATTATTATTATTATTATTATCATTATTATTATTGTTGTATTATTATTATTATCATTATTATTATTATTATTATTATTATTATTATTATTATTATTATTATTATTATTATTATTATTACTATTATTATTATTATTTTTATTATTATTATTATTATTATTATTATTATTATTATTATTATTATTATTATTATTATTATTATTATTATTATTATTATTATTATTATTATTATTATTATTATTATTATTATTATTATTATTATTATTATTATTATTATTATTATTATTATTATTATTATTATTATTATTATTTTTGTTATTATTATTATTATTATTATTATTATTATTATTATTATTATTATTATTATTATTTTTATATATTATTATTATTATTATTATTATTATTATTATTGTTATTATTTTTATTATTATTTTTATTATTATTGTAATTATTGTTGTTGTATTATTACTATATTACTGTAAATAAAACATATTGAAGGAAATAGAACAAATTACAGTGTTTAAGGAGCGTTCCCCTAACCCTTGCCATTTTTTTCTTCTTATGGGGTAATTAAGTTCGAGTTACACGTTTTTTTATTTACACGGCCAATCTCAAGAACGTAACTACCGTGTAAATCGAGAGATGGCTGTATCTGCTTTGTTAAATTTTAAAAGTTTGTAATAAGGTATAGCACAATAAACTTATATATATTTTGGAAAAAATAGGCATTAATGAAGGAGGTATTAGAATTTTAAAGAATCTTTATTAGCAGCATGAGGCTTCAGTGTTAGTAAATAATGAACTTATTGGTTCACAGTTAGACAGGGAGTAAGACAAGGCTGTATTCTATCTCCAACATTGTATAATATATATTCAGAATTCTTAACGAGAGAAGTTATAGGTAATAAAGAAGGACCAAAAGTTAATGGTACAATAATATAAAATAAACGCTGTGCAGATGATACTGCTATTATCACAGATAGTGAAGAGGCATTACAAAAACTGGTTAACAGATTAGTGGGAAAAGGTGATGAAAATGGTTAAAGAGTTAATGGTTGTTTCTAAATTGGAAGCAAATCCTAAATTATGATTGGCATCATTTTGTGTATTTGGAAAGTAATGGTAGATGTACGGAAGAAATCAAAACAAGAATATGGCAAGCAAAACAGCATTTAATAATGTAAAAGACCTAATGAACAGGCTGCTGAAAGGTGTTATATGACAAGGATTGGTGTATTGGTCAAAATTTGTGAACACTTTCAACAGACACCAGAAAGAGGTTGGAGGTCTTTGAAATGTGAAAAACGAATGATTAAGTATTAAGATTAGCAAAAACTTCAAGAGAAATACTTGAAATGTACAGAAAAAGAAAAATTAGATAATTTGGTCATATAATTAGGGATGAGGGGATAATAACATAAATATTAATGGGCAGAGTTGAGGGTAGGGGGACCAGGGGAAGGCAGAGACTGAGATTGATTAATGAAATTGTAAATTGGGTCCCCAGAGAGATAAAAAAAATGGAGGATTGGTAAAAAAACCCGAGAACGTTTAGAGTG